CAAAGTGTTAGTCAGCCATTTTGTTTTGCCGTGTCCACCAACCCAAATTGCCCTTCTCGAACGCCGCCATCTTGTTCAACCAGCTGCGGTGATTGCGCCCTCGGAAAACTGCAACAGAGGCCCAGACTTGGTAAGACACCACAACACTCAAAGTTAATAGCGTTTCGTGAACAGATCAGTTTTCACAAATGACATTTTGGACAAAATACATGTTCTCACCTCACCCGTGATCTGTGTGCTGGGGGGAGAAAAAAAGGGGACAAGTTGAATTTGAATTTTTTTGAGTTTTTTTTTTTTCCTTACTTGTGACAAGAACCGGACACCTCCTCGATGACCTGCAAGACAAGGTAACAAAGTTAAATGTGTTGAAATTGGGTCATTGCAACAAAATGTTTGAAGAAGCCACGTTGAAAGGATACGCAGAGTCAGCCATTTTGATTCGAACTGCACACCTGTAGGAAGAAATGACAAATCATTTACACAGATGGTCATGACGTTTGTTTAGGAATGACAAAATAAGTTGGAAACTTACCTTCTGCCAAGCTGAGCTTCTCTTCAAATGCTGCAAAGAAAGTTTGAAACAGGACCGCAATGATAATCATTGCTTCAGGGCACGTTTAACATTGTTGAAAATGTGTGTCAAAATCACCTTAAATACTGACCTTCGTCAAAATGCGTGGAGAGCAGCAATCGGACGGTGTCGACCGACCGGAGTCTGGCAGCCAAGTGGAGAGAGAACGCTCCGGCAATTAGTCGCACCTTAAATAGGCTCCGGTTGATGACGTCATCCGTTTTTTTAAAACAAAACTTTATTTATAAAAACAAACAAACCAAAAAAATAGTAATGATGCCGAAAGCAATCTAGACACGAGGAGATTCGAACCCCGGTCGTCAGAACCGCAAGCAATTGCTTTACCATCAAGCCATCTCGAGGTGACAGCTGCATCACGAGATGTCATATTCAACGAATATTTACCCAGGCAATGTTTCAAACGAACTATGATGCTAAAAGTAGTTTAGGCACGAGGAGATTCGAACCCGGGTCATCAGAGCCGCAAGCAATTGCTTTACCATCAAGCCATCTCGAGGTGACAGCTGCATCACGAGATGTCATATTCAACGAATATTTACCCAGGCAATATTTCAAACGAACTATGATGCTAAAAGTAGCTTAGACACGAGGAGATTCGAACCCCGGTCATCAGAACCGCAAGCAGTTGTCTTTCCAACAAGCCATCTCGAGGTGACAGCTGCATCACGAGATGTCATATTCAACGAATATATACTCAGGTAATATAGATGCTGAAAGGTGCTAAAATGTGGGAGGATTCGAACCCAGGTCATCCCAGTCACAGGCAGTTTCTTAACCATCAAGCCATCTCTGGGTGACAGCCGCATCGCGGGATGTCATATTCAACCAACACATATCCAGGCAATATTCAAAAAGCAGAAATTATGACGCTGAGACACATGGGGATTCGAACCGATGTCATCCGAATCGCAAGCAATTGTGTTACCATCAAGGCATCTTTAAGTGCCTGCAGCATCACGAAATGTCATATACAACGAATATATACCCAGGCAATATTAAAAATGACGCTTAAAGGAGCAAAGAGAGAAGAGAATTCGAACCGGGGTCTTCTGAGTCTCAAACTGTTTCTTAACCATCAAGCCATTTCTGGGTGTCAGGTGCACTGCGGGATGTCATATTCAACCTAAACATACGTAGGCAATATTCGATACATTCAACTAACTGAAATACAACAAAACGAGGTTGAATTTTAAAGGCAATGTCGTCAAATGGTATGAGACACTGCCAACGAATCCCGGGCTCTTGGTTTGATCCCAGTTTCCCGTTGCGCTTATTTATGCGAACGACGCACTGCGTGGGAATTGAACCTTGACTGTGCGCACCGGTATCCAAGTATTATCCCACTAGTCCATCGATCGGTGGATCTCGCCGAATTTTCTTGTCGCATTTAACGGCCTTATTCACGAGCCAACTGGTAGACATTTAGTTGTCATGACTGGGCGGTCGCAGATTCCGCAAGGTGTCTCAATCTGTCTCTCTGCATTGAGAATTGCCCAACGAACATATTCAGCGCAGCCAAAGATGAAAGTCGACGAAGTGCGTCGACAAGTTAGCAGATAACTTATTATTCCACGAAGCACCACTATGAATCCATATACTCATATTTTATGTCCTCCTTTTACTACGTTTCCACTGGATTCATTTCAAAAATTAAACGGGCGGACGTAGTGATAGTAACTCAAATTCGACACCGGAGGACGGCGTTTCACTTTATTCGTTTTTTGAGGCATCGTCACAAGCTTTGTTTTCCTTTTTTCGGAGGCTTTATTGAGAATGATCCCGCTGGACAAAGTGTGAAATGACATGACAACTGACAGCAATGCAGAGTGAATCAGACAAACTTGTCAACAGTGATAAAAAATGATCATGTGCATGAACAGGAAAAACACAGTGACGTTGGAGAAAAATATCAAATAAAAGACCTCCCAAACTTTGGATCAGAGACAGCAATGTTTTTAAAAAAAAAATACAGCTCTGCTTCAACCGGAATTAGCACAAATGCTCGTTTTCAGCCGTCGTCCCAAGGCTGGTTTCTTAACATAAACATAACATAAAACAGTTCACATCACAACAAAATACATAACATAAAACACGGACAGTCGAGCAATCCGAGGCACTTTTCCTGATACGCGTTGTTGTTCGAAGCAGATCGAGATGGAAGAGGAGTGTCAAAAGTGTACTTTCGCTCACAGCCGTCACGCTCAAAATGTGCACACGTCTGCAACAAGCTAAACTGGAAAGGAAACAAGAAGCTGTCGTGTCCATTGACGAAAAAAAGAGATTGGTTCACTTCTCCTGGTACATGTGAATCCGTTTCATTTCCATCGGGGACTCTCAATTCCAAATATGCTTCCACGCGCAGCGCCGACGATCCTCTCGCCTCATCCACGGCTCCGCAAGCCATCCACCCAACGGTACCAGGGCAGACTGTCGCAACAGCGTCATCATCGCGAAACAAAAAGGGGCTGTGAAAAAATGCTGCCCACTTCAGGGAAAAAAAAAAAACAAGCGACGCGGGGCTGTCCAGCGGCGACAGTTAAAGTAGCGCCGACATTTCTCTCAATGCAAATCAGCGAAGGTGCATTCGTGCTGCTGAGAAGGCGCAACCACCAAGCAAGCACAGATGCTTCGCTTTTGACTAGTGTCGTGGCCAAAAACACTGAAAACATTCCACATCGGGTGCACACGAAGTCACAACAAACACCACGTGACAAAAGACAACCCCCCCCCCCCGAAGAAAAACTCTTGGGGAGCACTTGGCGACTGTTGCCTACTCGGGCGCCATCTTGGTGGATGACGTATTTTGATTGAGTGTCGTTTTCTTCCACAGAAAACTATCTCAAAATGTAAAAATAAAAGTATATGTTGTATCGGTCATGATCGTGTATTGTTTGTTCGTTATTTCTTTTTTAAATTGTTTTTATATCGCTGTGTTTTGTTCCGCGAGTGACTGTTTTCTCCGGAAGACGCGGAAGTGAAAGCTCCACCCGAACCGGAAACGAAGGAATGTTTGGATTGACCGCCGCGTTTGCCTGAACTTTGTATTGTGTGCTATCAACACCCGAGCTAAGTTAGCAGCTAGTTACGTTGCTCTAGCACGAAAGATGTTATTGTTTATTGTTCACACGCGCGTGGGCGTTCACAATGAAAGAACGTGGTTGCGACGTCAGCTGCTGTCCATCCAAATCAGGTGCAGACACTTTGTCACAGGTAACACACGCTCAATTTTCACACGTTTTCTTTGCATGTTGACAGTATGTTGTATATGCTTGAAAGAAGATTTTTGCATGACAGGATGACGGAGTTTGGGATGAACAGATGGAAGCTTCGTGTGGACGTGTGTGAGTAGACGATGTTGTGTCTGTTTGATATTTGTTCGAACTTGAACACGAGCGCAATGTGCTGGACTGAACTACATCAGCAAACACTTCTGGTTGTGCTTTGCAATGACATTGGTGTGGCCAAAGTTCTTTGAAAAACCTTGAGGATGTTTAAAAACATAAATATATTTGCTTTCTTTTTTTTAATAACTCGATCCAAATCAGTGTCAGTTGAAAGCAGATTTAAGTTCTGGATGCCTTTTAAAATGTCACTGTGATCTGATCCAAATTATTTTAAGAAAGAAAAAAAAAACATTATTTAATTACTTATTTCACACTGTTTAATTTGACATTTTTTGCTGAGGCTACTCAAGGAATGGAAAATATATATTTATTGAACGTGTATTTTGAGTTGTTCAAAATATTGTGACGACCTCAAACTGTTAAAAGTACCTATCTAAAAAAAGAGAGACATAAAAAAAAAAAATTTAATGATTGTTGTTTTAAAAATAACTTGGTCCGCATCAGTGTCACTGTGAAGCCAAAGGTGTCCAAAGGCATTTGCTGATGTGGCTGGCCAGCTCATTGCACAATGTGCTTATGTGCCCATGAGTGAGATGACAGGCAAGCTGCTCAAACTGCTCCCATGCCATCACTGTTTGGGCGACAAAGTCGTCCCAGCTTTTTCTCCTCAATAAATTGTCCAAGTTGAAGTGCAGTCTTGTTGTTTTTATTGCGTCTCCCGACATGTGATTGTTTTCTCAGGGCAAGTGGACTGCTGGGGAAGACTTTTGGCCTCTGGTCCGAGCCGACATAGTCAGTTCATGTGCAGACGTCGCATGGGACAGCTTGAGTCGGAGTGTTTCTGAGTGGGAAGCAGAGTGTTCCTCAAACGGAGAGGGCGAATACTTTGGTTTTTCACCCAAAAGCACTCCGACGAGCTGTCTCGTGTGGGTCTGTGCATGAGTTGCTGTGTCGACTTGGGCAAGAGACCAAAAGTCTTAGAAGAAAATGGCTCATGACGGCGACGCCCCGCCCACAAATCGGAGCCGACCAATGGCGTCCATCTCGTTTGCATAACCACGCCCACCTCATTATACGGCCCAATCAGAAACGAGAGATTTGCATAAATTTGCATATTAGCGGGCAACGGACCAATCAGATCGCAGAGATCTGCATATATTTGCATAACCACGCCCCCTTCTCCAGCCAATGGCCGCGCTCCGTTTTGTATAGGCACGCCTATTCTCGCGCGCGACCAATCATCATACAGATCCCGCCCACTTCTGGGAGCCACCAACAAATCAGTGAGCATTTGTCTCGTCTGGCCGCACCCCTTTTCATTTAAATTTCCCCAGAAAAAAATTCTGGGCGAAAAAAAATCCCGGGGGAAAAAAAATCCCGGAAAAAAAATTCCAGGAAAAAAAAAAAAATCCAGAAAAAAATTCTCAAAAAAAAGCTTCATTTTTAAAATGAAAATAAATGTTTTAAGAATGAGGAGAAGAGTTCAAACAAGTGTTGCATTTGTAACAAGCTTTATTTCATTTTGCAGAGTTCAAGTGGCAAACATTTAAGTAACAAGCAGGAGGACCGATGAGTCTGAGAAGTGGTCAGCCGAAGAGGACAGCCTGGACGCCTGCAAGACCATTAGTTAGCTCTCCTTGTTGTGCAGCAAATGGTAACACAGTGAGGGAGAGGAAGTAGACGTCAGCAAGTTGGCAGAGTGGACGGCTGGAAGATGATTGCCTTTTTCAGCACCTTTGGATGAACAACAAATTCATAAAAACATGATTGTGAAGTTGAGAGCAGCCTGGACACCTGCAAGACAAAAAGTTGCCTCACCTTGTTGTGCAGCAAATGGCGCAAGATGGAAACCCAGAGTGAGGTAGGCGGTCAGCAAGTTGGCAGAGTGGATGGCTGGAAGATGATCATGTGGTTTAGCACCTTTGGAAGAAAAACAAATCAATGAAAACATGTCTGCAAAGTTGGGGGCATTTAAAAGAACACACCTTTCAAGGCAAAGGGCTCACCAAAGTTTTTCTTCACCTTGAGGAACATGGACACTGTCAATTTGAAAACTTGACCTCTTTTGCCCCCCAGCAGTTCCATTTTCTTCAGTCAAGGTTGTCCACCACCATGCCGATTGGACCGGAAGCCACCTTGCACACAAAGTCAAAAGAAAATTGGAAACAGGTGAGTGCTCGTTTGCAGCTGACGTCGCAATTTCACAGCTTATTTTCCCCCCATCTGCAAAGGGAAAAAAAGCCAAGCACTAGTCCAAGTATTTGTCAAGAATAAATTGCTAAAATTGTTCCAAACCAGTGATGATCAGCATTGACGAAAAAGAGTCGTTGCTCGACAAGATCACAGGACATGTGCTGCTTTGGCGCCACCTAGCGGACAAGAGCATAAGGGAGACCAACGTGAGCTTGTGGAAGGAAGGTTAACTATCTCGTTGAGTACATACTGTGGTTGAATTTTTTGGGTGTGGGGGCGGGGGGCAGGATTGTCCACCACGTCAATTGGACTGGAAGCCGCCCTGCACACAAAGTCAAAAGAAAATTGCAAACAGGTGAGCACTCCTCAATCTCATTTTCTGAGCTCGTTTGCATCTTACCTCGGAATTTAATGCCTTTTCCCCACCTGCAAAGAAAAAAAGGCAGAACACTTGTACAAGTATTTGTCAAGACTGACTTGCAAAAATTGTTTCAAACCATTTTGGATCAGCCTTGAAAAAGTCGTTGCTGGACAGGTTCCCAGGATTTGTGATGCTGTGGCGCTACATGGTGGACAAGAGAAGAAACCAACGTGAACTTGTGGAAGGTTCAGTACCCTATTTAGAGGGGTTCAAGTTTTTATTTTAATTTTTTGGGGGGGTGCAAGACAAAAAAAAATTCAAAGCGTTGGTCAGCCATTGTTTTGCAGTGTCCAACCAAAAGGCCTTCCTCGAACGCCACCATCTTGTTCAACCAGCTGCGGTGATTGCGCACTCAAAAAGCCCGTCAGAGGAAAACTGCAACAGAGGCCCGACCTTGGTGAAAGCCTGGGAGTTTGGCAAGACAACACACAACACTGCAAGTTAATAGCGTTTAATGACCAGCACATCAGTTTTCACCATTACAAATGACTACATTTTGTACAGAGTCCATGTTCTCACCTCAACCGTGAGGTGTGTGTTGGGGGGGAGAAAAAAAAAAAAAAAGTTGAATTTAAATGCGTGTGAGTGTTTTTTTTTTTTCCTCACTTGTGACAAGAACTGGACACCTCCTCGATGACCTGCAAGACAAGGTAACAAAGTTAAATGTGGTGAAATTGGGTCATTGCAACAAAATGTTTGAAAAAGCCACGTTGAAAGGATACGCCGAGTCAGCCATTTTGATTCGTACTGCACACCTGTAGGCAGAAATGACAAATCATATACACAGATGGTCATTACGTTTGTTTAGGAATGACAAAATAAGTTGGAAACTTACCTTCTGCCAAGCTGAGTTTTTCTTAAAAATGCTGCAAAGAAAGTTTGAGCCAGGACAGTCATGATAATTATTGCTTCAGGGCACGTTTAACACGGTCCTTTCAAAAGCAAACATTTTCGCAAGCACTGGTTAAAGTGCCCAAAAACATGCGATTCCCAGTATTTGAGTTGGAAAACTTTGTTGAAATTATTTGTCAAAATCACCTTAAATACTGACCTTCGTCAAAATGCGTGGAGAGCAGCAATCGGACGGTGTCGACCGACCGGAGTCTGGCAGCCAAGTGGAGAGAGAACGCTCCGGCAATTAGTCGCACCTTAAATAGGCTCCGGTTGATGACGTCATCCGTTTTTTTAACCATAACTTTATTTAAAAAGAAAAACGTCTCGACGACGAAAGGTGTTAATACAGGAGGGATTCGAACCAAGGTCATCCTAGTCGTAAGGAGTTTCTTAACCACCAAGCCATCCCTAAGTGACAGCGTGAACACGAAATGTCTTATTCAACCAATACATACCCAGGAAATATTTAAAATGATATGACGCTGAAAGGAGTTCAGACACCAGAAGACTCGAACGCCGGTTCTAGGAACCGCCAGCGGTTGCCTTACCATCAAGCCATCTCTGGGTGACAGCTGCGTCGCGAGATGTCGTATTCAACCAATACATACCCAGGCAACAAAAATAAAGCATGACGCAGAAATGAACACACGGGAGATTCGAACCTCGGTCACACGAATCGCAAGCAGTTGCCTTATCATCGAGCCACCTCAGGGTGACTCCGACATCACAAGATGGCATATTCCAGCACTATATACCCAGGCAATATTTAAAATGAACAAATCATGACACTTAAAGGAGTGAAGGCACAAGGGGACTCGAACATCGGTCACCCGATTCGCAAGCAGTTGCCTTACCATTGAGCCACCTCGGGGTGACTCTCGCATCACAAGACGGTATATTCTAGCAATACATAGCTAGGCAATTCTAAAAATGAAGTCATGAGACCTAAAGAAGTGAAGCTACAAGGAGACTCGAACCTCGGCCACCCGAATCGCAAGCAGGTGCCTCACCATTGAGCCACCCAGGGGTGATTGCAGCATGACGAGACGGTATATTCCAGCAATACATACCTAGGCAATATTAAAAAATGAACAAGTCATGCCACCTAAAGCAGTGAAGCTACAACGGGCCTCGAACTCAGATTACTCAATTTGCAAGCAGCTTCCTTCACAACAAGCCACCTCTGGGTGACACCTTCACCACAAGATATCTTTGTGAACCAATCCATACCCAGGTAATACAAAAACTTCATGACGACATGAGAGAACTCGAACCATGGTCATCCAAATAGCAAGCAGTTGGCTTACCATCATGCCACCTCTGGGTGATGTCTCCATCACAAGATGGCATATTCCAGCAATACACACCCAGGTAATAGGACGTTGAAAAGAGTCAATATACGAGAGGCATCGAACCCCGATCATCCGAATCGCAAGCAGTTACTTTACCAACAAGCCATCTTGGGGGGGACAAAACCACCCCAAAATGTCACATTAAAGCAATACATACCCAGGCAACATGCCAATACTTTCAACGAAACCAGGTACAATTAAATGAAGACAATTTTAAGGGCAATATAGTCAAATGGTATAAGACGTTGCCTCCGAGTCATGAACCCTTGGTCCGATCCCAGTTTTCCGCTGTGCTTATTTATGCGAACGTTGTACTGAGTGGGAATCGAACAGTGACCGTCGGTGCCGGCATCCAAATTTTATACCACTCGTCCACCAGTCCGCGGAACTCGCCGCATTTCATTATGGGATTTAACCTCCTTATATGCGAGCTGACTGCGTGGTGGAAGATTCCGCAAGAGATGTTCGAATCTCTGTTCCTGCTCCATTGACAATTGCCGGACGAATACATTTGTCAGTGTAGCTAAAGCTGAGGCTCGAAAAAGCGCATCAACAAGTTAGCAGCGAACTTATTTCTGACCCATATGATTGAAAACCAAGTTTAAGAACCCCCTGTCCGCCGGTACGGAAATCAGCTCTGAATCCATAACTCCAAATACTCGTATTTTATATCCTCCTGTCACTCCAATGTTCCAGTGGATTCACTTCAAAATAAAACGGGCGGCCCATAAGTGACCGTGGTTGCAGTTACTCTAAATGCATGGAGCACCACTATGAATGCATAACTCCAAATCCTCGTCTTTATATCCTTTGAGTAAATTTTCCATTGGATTCATTTCAAAAATTAAACGGGCGGTCGTAGTTGTAGTTACTCAAATTCGCCACCGGAGGGCATCGTTTCACTCAATTCATTTTGAGTCATCATCACAACCTTTTTTTTTTCCTCCTTTTTCGGGGGCTTTATTGAGAATGATCCCGCTGTACAAAGTGTGAAATTTCAACATGACAACTTCCAGCAATACATCGGGAATCAGACAAACGGTGATAAAAACGATTATATGCATGAACAGGAAAAACACAGTGCCATTGGAAAAAAAAAGATCAAATAAATTACCTCCAAAACTTTGGCTCACAGACAGCAACATGTTTTTAAATAAATAGAACTCTGCTTAAGACGTCTGACGCGATTACGAAAGAAGAATGCATCTCACTCTTTAGCACTTGAAATTGTATCCAACAAAAGTGTATAAAATGAAGTAGAAAGGTAATAGATTGGACAAGTGAAGTGTTTGTCAAGTACAAAAAAAAAAAAAAAAATTGTGGACGTTTGGAAAAAAAACGTCAGTGGTTCCGGGAGGAAGACCAGCAATCACGCGAGGATGCGCTCGCATGTCCGCGTCCCTTTCGGAGTGTCTTCGCTTGGGGGCGAGGGGCCAGATGCGCCCGAATATGGCATCGGCGCAGAGGATGACGTCACAGTTTCTTCAGCGTGAATGTCTCGCGTGAACATTCTTCTTCTTCTTCTTCTCCCTCCTTGTGGCTCCAGAATTTTGGCACGACGGCAATGCGGCCCTTTTTAATTATGACTCTGCAGCAGAGAAAAAGCACTTTCTAAATTTCACACTTCATCTCCTCTGACAGCTCGCCTCCAAAAGCGCTCACCTATGTCGTCAGCCGCATCGTCGGGCTGCGGGTCGATCACGAGGTACTTGTCGCCGAATATCTTGACCAGCTGGTCGAAATACTTGCACTCCTGCTTGTCTCCTCTGCAAAACGGCGAGACGCGATCAGAGCCGGCGCGGACGCAAAACGGGAATTCACCGCGCTCGACGCTTACCTCCTGCCGTCGAGGAACTGCCGGAAGCTGTACTTGAGCCTCTTGATTCGGGTCTGGCACTGCTCGGGAGTGCGCTGGTAGCCTTGGCTGGCCAGGGCGTCGGAGATCTGCATGTAGATGTGCTTGTTCTTGGTGCAGCCCTTCAGGTTCTCCTGCACGTCCTCGCTCCCCCACATGCTCAGCAGCACCTCCGTCTCGCCGTCGCTCCACGGGTGCTTGGAGTTGTCCGACAGCCACTGGTTGCCCGGGGAAACCACAAAATCTGGAGCGGAGAAAATTGGAATCGTAAAAGTTGTGCTCACTTTTACTCTTTTTTTGGAGGGGGGCGGGGCTTCACCTCTGATGGGCTCATACGTGCCGTTGTCGGGCTCATCCGGCGCCGGGATGCCCACGACCGAGCCGCTGGACTTTAAATCCCGACTGAAGATTTCCTCCATCTCTCGGAAGAACTTGAAGTCCTGCCTGAGACGCAATTTGGAACTTGGGTGTGAGGAAAAAAAAAAATCGGACAAGTCGAGTCGACTGACTTTTCGTGGAGGAAGCCGTATTTGAGGCGCTTGATGCGGGTGTAGCACTGCTCGGTGGTCCGGGCGTAGCCTCGGTTGCCCATCTTCTCCGAGATGAACTCAAAGACGTGGCGGTTCTTCAGGCAGCCCCTCAGCGTCATCTGCACGTTGTCCTCCCCCCAGATCTCCAGCAGCGTGTGCGTCTCCCGGTCCGACCACGGCGTCTTCTTGCTCGGGTCGGGCAGCGGGTGGCTGGTGGACGGCTGCTCGTCTGAAACGGAGGCGCGCGTTCGGAGCGCGGCTTTCGAAATGGGATCGGAAGGCCGGCGGACCTACAGATGTCCGCGTAGGTTTCGTCGAGGGGTGCCAAGGAGATCGACGCCGAAGAAGAGGAAGTGTCGGCGTCGTTGAAAAGGGAGTTGTCGCCCAGCACCGGCGCGAGGAGGTTGAAGTAGCGGAAGGCTGCGGATCGGCCATTTCTGAAAAATCAAAAAACAGTCACTGGCAACCTTGAGGCGACGCCAACGCCGCACTGAAAAATCCCACACGCCGTACCTGCGGCTGTTGCAATCCCACACACCGTACCTGCGGCTGTTGCAGTAGCGCCTGTAGGTCTTCTTCAGCCGCTTGATCCTGGCCTGGCACTGCTCGGCGCTGCGGGCGTAGCCGGCGGCGGCCAGCCTCTCGGCGATGTCCGCGAAGATGTGGCCGTTGCGGACGCACGTCTTCAGGCCGTGCTGCACGTCGTCGGCGGCCCACACCTCCACCAGCGCCTCCGTCTCCCGCTCGCCCCACGGCGCGTTCAGCTGGTCCGGCGCTGCTTCGTCCTGCTCGTCGCACTCGTCCGGCGGGGCCGCCTCGGCGCCGAACGCTCGCTCCATCCGGTGGTAGAACTTGTCGTCGACTCGCCTCCCGCATCTGAAAAAAGGAGAAACGGGATGGCGACGACGCTCGGAGGACGACGGCGGCGGCGGCGCCACTCACTTCTTCCCTTCGTGACACTTGAGGAAGTTACTCTTCAGTGTCTTGACTTTGTCGTGGCACTGCTCCGGCGTTTTGGCGTAGCCCAGGTCGCGCAGCCGGCGGGAAATCTCGGCGTAAACGTGGCCGTTGGGGACGAAACCCGCCAGCGAGCGCTGCACTTCCTCTTCCCCCCAGATGTCGATCAGCGCCGACGTCTCGTCGTCCGGCCACGAGCTGACGGACAGTCCCGCTTCTCCCTCTGCCGAGACGCGGCGCAGACTTTGACGTTTGCGCCTTGACGCCCTCAAATCCGACACCCGATCGTTTCGTTTTACCCGTTTCGGTCACCGAGTCGCCGTTGGAGTCCTCCGATATTTCGATGGGGTCCGCGACGGCGGCGCTGGAGGTGGACGGACGCTTGTCCAGGATTTGCTCCATCAAATCGAAAAACTTGAAATTGACCTTGTCGGTCCCGGAGGCGCTGCGGACAAAACGTCCAAAAGACGACACGTTGATGATTTTTTGCAGCGGCGCCGGTCGCAAAGCGAGCCTCCCGATTCGCCGCCGGACCTCATGCCGTCGCGGCACTGCCAGTAGTTGGTCTTGAGCCGCTTGATTCTGGTGTGGCACTGCTCGGCGGTGCGGCTGAAGCCGTGGACGGACAGTTTCTCCGATATTTCGCCGAAAAGGTGCACGTTGGGCGGGAAGCCTTTGGCGTTTTGCTGGATCTAAAGAGAGGAAATGTGAAATGGTGCGTGGATGGGACTTTTTGGGAAGAAAAAAAATAATAAAACGGCTCACTTGGGATTCTCCCCAGAGTTCCAGAAGGATGACGGTCTCTTTGTCGGCCCAGGGGACTTTCTTCCTGTCGTCCTGGAGGCTGACGAAAGACACTGAAGGCACAAATCAAAATCAGCAGGATATCACTTGCGCAACCAGCGCTCCCTCCGGAATCACTGAAATGATTTTTAACTCATTCCCTCCCCAAGACGTTTTTAAACGTCTTTTCAGACTTGGTCCAGAATTGGCTGCGACTGAAGGAGTTAATCGAGCACACGAGACTTGAACCTTGACCTACTGGCAGTTTTGTTTCCAAACGTTCTAATGTCGTAATGACGCGCAGTTACTTTTTCGTACCGACATCCGGAACGGAGCGGGAGGGCGAGTCGTTGTCGTCGGTGTCGGCGGACGCCTCGTTCGGCGGCGGCGGCGATCGGTGCTCTTTCAGTAAAAACCGCGCCAGCTCGTGGTAAAACTTGCACTGGACTTGCTCCAGGCCCTTCATGCTGCGGGACGAAAAAAAAAAAATAAAGAGTCAGATCCGAGGAGAGCTCCCCAAACAAAAATAAACGGGGAAGGAACCATCTTCTGCTGGGCCCGCCTACTTGTTTTCGTAGCACTGCCTGAAACTGGACTTGAGCCTTTTGAGCCTGGTTTGGCACTGCTCGGGGGTCCTGGAGAAGCCCTGGGCGGCCATCTTGGTGGAGATGATGGGGAACATGTGCATGGTTCTGTTGGCCCCCCTCAGCTCCTGCTGCGTCTTTTCTTGGCCCCACGTGTTGATGAGC